CACCAGCAGGAGCATGCGGGGCGTCCGATGCCCTATGAGCCCGTTCCCTCCCTCTTCCCGATCACTCTTGAGGAGGCGGTGGCAGAGGAGGAGGTGGTCGCACCTCCTGCTATGCCCTATGTCCCTACCTCGGTCCCCACCCCACCTCCGCCTTCAGTTTACCCTCGTGTGGTTCCCCCTGCCCCACCTTCTTCATCCTCACCCCCCTTGGCTTCCCCTCCTCCTCCTGTTATTCCCTCTCCCCTTCCACCCTCCATCCCTCCTGCACCTGCTCCACCCTCCTCTTCATCTTCCACGGCGCCGCCCGTTGGTGAGGGGGGGATAGTGGTGCCACCGTCTGTGGAGATCACCGACGGGCAGCGCCTTGAGACTGAGCAGCTGCAAGACAAGAGCAGTATGGATGGAGTGCAGCAGAGTGGGGGGCAGGAGAGAGGGGAGCAGCAGTTAGGGGAGCAGCAGAGTGGGGAGCAGCAGATAGGGGAGGAGCAGATTGAGGAGCAGCAGATGGTGGATCAGCAGCTAGAGGAGCAGCAGACAGGGGAGCCGCAGACAGGGGAGCCGCAAACAGGGGAGCAGGAGATGTGGGGAATCAGAGATGGTGGTCGTGTGTTGGCTTCTGGGACGATCACTGCACCGCTGCGTCGCTCCACTCGCATCACTCGTGGTATCCCGCCTCTTAAGTATGCTTGGGCTTTGGTGATTGAGCCAGCGGGATTGGATGACGAGGAGGAGGACGAGGAGTGGACGGACCTGGATCCTGATGTGGTGGCCGACCCTGAGAGGCAGTGGGATATAGCGAAGATGACAGTGAAGGAGGCCTTGGGCTGCTGGAAGGGCGACAAGGTGAAGGAGGCGATGGATGAGGAGATGCGGAGCTTGATTGAGCAGGGGACGTGGGAGTTGGTTCCGCGTCCGCCAGGGGTGAATGTGATGAAGAACCGCTGGATCCTGAACACCAAGTTCCGACCTGATGGGGTAGTAGAGCGTGAGAAGGCGCGGCTGGTGGTGAAGGGGTTCACGCAGGTGGCAGGGGTGGACTATGAGGAGACGTACGCCCCTGTGGGAAGCTATGTGACGGCGCGTGTGCTTCTAGCGATTGCAGCTGCACTCGATTTGGAGCTGATGCAGCTGGATGTGAAGAACGCGTTCCTCCATGGCGTGCTGGACCGTGACCTTTACATGGAGCAGCCGAGCTACTACGAGGATGGGACCCCTCGTGTCTGTAAGTTGCTGAAGAGTTTGTATGGGCTCAAGCAGAGCCCGATGCTGTGGTATGAGGCCTTGGATGGGGTGCTGCTTGGGGCTGGATGGAAGAAGAGCCAGGTGGATGAGGCTCTGTACTTCAAGAGTGATGCTGAGGGGGAGATGTGCTGGCTGCTGGTGTATGTGGATGACTTGCTTGTTGCCAGCCGCAGTCAGAACATGCTGGGGGAGCTGCGGGAGTTGCTGCAGAGTGCGTTTCAGCTGCGGGAGATTAGCCCTGTGGAGAAGTACTTGGGGTTGCAGCTGATTCGGGACAGGCCTACGAGGAGGCTGTGGCTGCACCAGGGGGCCTATGTGGACAAGGTCCATAGGCGCTTCTTCGACGGGGAGCAGCCGCTGCGAGTGCCTCGCACCCCCCTTTCCTCTGACCCTTTCAGTGTGCAGACCTTCGGGGACGTGGGATGGCAGTCTCGTCAGGAGGAGGAGTACAGGCAGAAGGTGGGATCCTTGCAGTTCGCGGCCTGTACCACCCGTCCCGACATTTCCTTCGCCTGCAGCAAGCTGGGGTCGGGCCAGACAGTGCGGAGTGACCAGCACTGGAAGGAGTTGGACCGGTGCTTGGCGTACCTGGTGGGGAGCAGGGATGTGGCGCTGGAGTTTGGTGGCGGGCCGGAGTCCTTGGAGCTGGTGGGCTACGCCGATGCTGATGATGCAGGAGACAAGCAGAACAGGACCAGCACTGGTGGCTACATCTTCGTGCTCGGGGGTGCTGCTGTCTCTTGGGCGAGCCAGAGGATTCGTTGCGCCACGCTCTCCTCCACTGAGTCTGAGTACGTTGCTGCTGTGGAGGCTGGGAAGGAGGCGCGCAGGCTGCGCTTCCTGCTGGCAGAATTTCAACTGCTGAGGAGTGAGGAGCCCACAACCCTCTTTGTGGACAACTCCTCCGCCATTTCAGTGGCAGGTGGCATGGGAGTACGCCCTGTGATTATAAAGGGCCTTGCTGTAGTATGGCAGGGGAGTGTTAGAGGGCCCTACGACAGCAAGGGCCCTCGCGAAATGTTAGACTTGGCAGGTTGACGACCGACGACCTGGTCTACTCGGCACCGTCGCACAGGTTCGATGGCAGTCAAGTGTGACTACGGGTGAATGCGAGCTGCAGTAAGGACTCTGCTGAAGTCGGTGCTGGGAAGTAGAGTCGTGGGAGTCTTTGTGTGCTTCCTTATGAGGCACGCCACTCCCAAGCTGAGTCGGATGGAGTTGCGTGCTCGGAAGGTTTTCGCTGCTGAGTTGGATGGAAGTTTGGCGGGGCGCGTTCGCCAACTCCCACAAGCACTTCCGTGTGGGTTGGGTTACTCACAGCGCCCTCGCTACCTTGTGAGAATGCTTGCTTGCCTTTATATGTTTGTGTATGCTTTTGTATTCAGAAAAAATATTACAATCTCTACTCAAGTTCTCACTTAGCCATTTGAGACAAGCTCTACCGAAACGCTACCGAATTCCTAGCGCAACATCATTCCCATAAGCAGAATCTCTCTCGCCGTCGTAGTGCTCTCCATAATATTCCTTCATTTCCTTAGTAGCTTGGCAAAGGCAGAGACTCGCACCCATCGCCCAACGGTCAGATTGGAGTTCTTTTTAGGCGGCGGGAGTGGCGGAGAGGCGATCATGGGTTTCCAGAAGATTCCGGTTGATAATCCCGTCGTGGAGATGGACGGTACGGATGTGCTGTTGTTAGCTCCTTCTGTTGCCTGAAATCCAATGGGATTTGAGGAACCAATCTCCCGCTCAGCATACCGCCTTGCTGGGTGCACTCCTGCCCCCTTCTTTCTCCGTTGACCTTTTTCTTGCTTCCATTCCCACGCTTGCAAACGTTATTCATACGTTTCCAATACCATACTTTGGTTGCAAACGGAATTCGCTGTACAGGAGATGAAATGGCACGGGTTATTTGATCCATCATCCACCAGTTTCCGTTGCCGTGCTTGGCATGATTGAGATTTTTTCCGTGCAGGAGATGAAATGGCACGGGTCATTTGGTCCATGATCAAAGACAAGGTACTTGCACCCCATGTCCCCGTTTCAAACAACAAGTGTACATGCAGCATACCGTGCAGATGGAATGGCACGTGTCATCTGATCCGCATGACCCATCCATCCTTCTGCCTGTCTGCCTGTCTGCCTGTCTGCCTGTCTGCCTGTCTGCCTGTCTGCCTGTCTGCCTGTCTGCCTGTCTGCCTGTCTGCCTGTCTGCCTACGTCCCCTGTACTCTCCTCTCTCTGCAGCCCATCCACCTTTCCTGAATGTCAATATTTTGTACCTCGACCTCTTGCCACCTGCCCATTATCAAGTACTCAAGTTCTGCCCATTTCCCGCACTGTATACTCCTCGCTCCGCAGCTCGCCCAAGACGCGAAGAAAGCTGCTTCTTACTGCGCAAATTTTCGGATCTCAACACCAAATACTTGTACCTGGGCCTGCCCATTGCCGTGCACCTGACACTGTTCATGCCCCATCCACCTTTCTGCCTGCCTTCCTTTCCTGTTTCCTCCTCGCTCCACAGCTCATCCACCCCTTCCTCGATCTCAGCATCAAGTATTTCGACCTGGGCCTGCCTCACCGCGAGGCCACCAACGACCAGGTGACGATTGAGTGTGCACAAGCAACACTCAAGTGAGGCCCTCAGTCAGTCTGCTCTGCTTCTTCCCTGCTCCCTCTCATCTACAAGCGCTTAGTTCCTACGTACTTCTTTTCTTTTTTTTTTTTTGGATTTTCGTGTGTGCGTGTGTGATCTTTTTGTTTTTGTTGCAAGCAGGTATAACGTGGCAGTCAAGTGTGCGACAATCACTCCTGGTGCGTGATTCATAGCATAGTGTTGACTGACAGTCGTGGGTGGGACAGAGGTGGGTTCAGTGGTCGCGTGTGTGGGTTTTGCGTCATAGGCCTGAACGCCAAACGCGCCTGCATGGTGCACCTCGGTCGGTTGTGCGTGTTGTTTATGTGCTCGCCTGGCACGCATCATGCTCCATTCTCACCTCTCCCTGTATGCATGTCATGGCTCCCCTGCATGCTCCCCTGCATGCTCCCTTGCATGCTTCCTTGCATGCTCCCATGCATGCATGCAGACGAAGAGAGGGTTCGGGAGTTCGGATTGAAGACCATGTGGAAGAGCCCCAATGGTGAGATGCCACGTGTAAGGTAGAAATTATCGCGAAAAGGCATGCGTATTCTCAAACGTTGAAGCATTTTTTCAATCAAATTTCTCACAACAACACGTGGTATTAAACGTGTGTTGGTTGCAATGGCAAGCACTGCGTCTCCCTGCTGCCTCTCTTCTGCCACACCTTACTGTCAGAATCCCAGTCACTAACCACTGGGATAAAAGGGCTTGTTATAGTAGCGGGTGAGTGCGCCCATAACCCCCCAGGCCGACGTGCCTGTAACCCTCCCCTAGGATCAATCGGGGATCACCAGTGGACCTCTGACACCCCCCCCGCACTGGGATGCCCGAGGTGCACACACCGGGATTCGAACCCGAGACCTTCGCTCTGATAACATGTCAGAATCCCAGCCACTAACCACTGGGATAAAAGGGCTTGTTAATATAGCGGGTGAGTGCGCCCATAACCCCCCAGGCCGACGTGCCTGTAACCCTTCCCTAGGATCATCGGGGATCTCCAGTGGACCTCTGACACTTACTGCCTCTCTGCTTCTTTCCTCCCTGTGTACAAGTCGAGTTTTGAGTCGACTCAAATTTTGAGTGCAATGAGTCGAGTTTTGAGTCGACTCAAAACTCGACTCATGTGTTGGTTGCAATGGCAAGCACTGCGTCTCCCTGCTGCCTCTCTTCTGCCACATCTTACTGCCTCTCTGCTTCTCTCCTCCCCGTGTTCGTTCCTCCCCACTTCGGTGTCTTCTCTGCTGCTCCTTTTGTTTCGTGCAGGCACCATCCGCAACATACTGAATGGTAGGAGGCCACATGTTTGTGTGTGTGTGTGCGCTCGCGTGCGCGTGTGTGTGTGTGCCCGTGCGCGTGCATGCGTGTGTTGGTGAGTGTGCATGCACACACACGCATGCTCAGATGTGTGTGAGCATGTTCATCTTCTGGCTGTAACCCACGCATCTGTTCTCATTCGCCACGCCATCCACATGCATTTCTTCCATTTCCCCTCGCCGTAAATCACTCCACTCCTTGGTCGCTCGTCATTTCTAAGGGGGCGCAAGCGCAAGAACCGTTTCCCTCACTCGGCCTTTTGCTCCTTGCTTGTTCGTCATTTTGAATTGGATCATAAATTTCTGTGTGCCTTATCCCCCCCCCCCCTCCATTCTCCCTCTGTTTCCTGGTCTGCAGGCACTGTCTTCCGAGAACCAATTCTCATCCGCAACATTCCCATGTGAGTCACTCACCCTTCCACCCAGCTGTCATACGAGATAGTAGTAGTGATTTGAGATGTCTCAAAACATTCCCCGCCTCGTGCCACGTTAATATCCCTTCCACCCAGCTTCCATACGCCGCTCTTCCCCCTCTTACTCCTTCAACTTCAACTTCAACCTCCCACCATCGCTCTTCCCCAGTTATGCCCTCCCAGCAGACAGAAATCCCCCTGGTTTTTGAGAATTCTCAAAAACCAACTCCCTCACCCTCCCACCCTTACCCGTGCTCGTTGCACACTCTCCGCCCCCTCCCTCTCCGCCCCCTCCCTCTCCGCCCCCTCCCTCTCCGCCCCCTCCCTCTCCGCCCCCTCCCTCTCCGCCCCCTCCCTCTCCGCCCCCTCCCTCTCCGCCCCCTCCCTCTCCGCCCCCTCCCTCTCCGCCCCCTCCCTCTCCGCCCCCTCCCTCTCCGCCCCCTCCCTCTCCGCCCCCTCCCTCTCCGCCCCCTCCCTCTCCGCCCCCTCCCTCTCCGCCCCCTCCCTCTCCGCCCCCTCCCTCTCCGCCCCCTCCCTCTCCGCCCCCTCCCTCTCCGCCCCCTCCCTCTCCGCCCCCTCCCTCTCCGCCCCCTCCCTCTCCGCCCCCTCCCTCTCCGCCCCCTCCCTCTCCGCCCCCCCTCTCCGCCCCCTCCCTCTCCGCCCCCTCCCTCTCCGCCCCCCCCTCTCCGCCCCCTCCCTCTCCGCCCCCTCCCTCTCCGCCCCCTCCCTCTCCGCCCCCTCCCTCTCCGCCCCCTCCCTCTCCGCCCCCTCCCTCTCCGCCCCCTCCCTCTCCGCCCCCTCCCTCTCCGCCCCCCCTCCCTCTCCGCCCCCTCCCTCTCCGCCCCCTCCCTCTCCGCCCCCTCCCTCTCCGCCCCCTCCCTCTCCGCCCCCTCCCTCTCCCTTGTTGAAGAAGTGTTTTGAGACGTCTCAAAACACTCCCTCTCCCTTGTTTCGTCCCGTCACCGCCTTATGCCACACCACACCAGCACTGACCTGTCAATGCTTTCGTCCATGCTCTCTCCGTTAGACATGCCCCTCGTCCTCCCTTCACTTCACCCCCCCCATATCATGCCACAAACGAGCTGGTTTTTGAGAATTCTCAAAAACCACTTCACCCCCCCATTGATGCCATGCCATTAACGTTCCGAGACGTCTCAAAACTCATGCCACACCACGGCTGACATGCGCGCCTTCCTCCCTTCACCCAACCATGCCATGCCACGTCATGCCAGCATGGACGCACCCCATAGTGATCGGCCGGCATGCTTTCGGGGACCAGTACCGAGCCACAGAGATGACCGTTCCTGGCCCTGGCAGGCTCAAACTAGTCTACGGTGAGTGCCATAGAGATGGCAGATTCATGCCCCTCTCGGTCATGCCCCTCTCGGTCATGCCCCTCTCGGTCATGCCCCTCTCGGTCATGCCCCTCTTCTTCCTCCACTCTCATGCCCTTACCTGTGTCATGGCTCTTATCTTCCTCCTTACCCACCAGAACCCCCTCATGGCACCAGTCAAGTCTTGGACGAGAACGAGGTCGAATCGCCCCCTTCCACCACCAGCGCTACCGATTCCTCTCTGGCGTGCTTTTCTCTCTGTCATGCCCCTCTGTGTGATGCCCCCCCCCCCCCCTTACCCACCAGAACCCCCTCATGGCACCAGTCAAGTCTTGGACGTGTACGAGTTCAAGTCGCCCCCTTCCACCACCAGTGCTGCTGGTGGGGATGGGGGTGGCGGTGTGGCGCTTGCTATGTACAACACAGACGAGGTGGGCAGGGTGGGGGATTGTGTTCCCAGGCTGCGCCACCATCTGTTTACCACTGCCAGCAGCAGTGCTGGGGGTGGGGATGGGGGTGGGGATGGGGGTGGGGACGGGGGTGGGGACGGGGGTGGGGATGGGGATGGGGACGGGGGCGGGGACGGGGGTGGTGATGGGGGTGGGGATGGGGGTGGTGATGGGGGTGGGGGTGGGGGTGGGGATGGGGGTGGGGGTGGGGATGGGGGTGGGGACGGGGGTGGGGGACGGGGATGGGGGTGGGGATGGGGGTGGGGGTGTGGCACTTGCTATGTACAACACGGATGAGGTGGGCAGGGCGGGGTGTTGAGGATTTGGTAGTAGCATGTGGCAAGCTGTCAGGGCTGGGCAGGATATGGTTTGTAGTTTGTAGGATCCGGGCGGTTTTGTTGTCTCTAGTTTGTAGCACAAATGCACATGTCTAACCATGTGCAATACCACCATTTGAGGTGACTTTTGAGTCGACTCAAAAGATGACTTTTGACTTTTGAGTCGACTCAAAAGGCACATGTCTAACCATGTGCAATACCACTATCTGAGGTGACTTTTGTAGGATCCGGGCGGGTTTGTCTATCGACTCAAAAGGCACATGTCTAACCATGTGCAATACCACTATCTGCCCTTGCCTTGCCTATGTCCCTATGAGGGCGTTTGCAGAGTCATCCAAGGCAAACGGCATACCAGAAGTGGTGGTCCATAGACGTCTGTTGACTCGATATGAGTTCTGTTGTCTCGATATGGACCACCACTCACCCCCTCATTCAACCCCATTGAACCCCGCTGACTGCCATTGACTGCCATTGATGGCAGTCCACCAGGGCGTTTGCTGAGTCATCCATGGCCATGGCGTACCAGAGGTGGTAGTTGATTGACTTCTGTTGACTCATTACTAACTCTCATTCAGCCTCATTGACTGCGTTGACTGCAGTCCATCCGAGCATTCGCCGAGTCATCCATGGCCATGGCGTATCAGAAGAGGTGGCCGCTGTATCTGAGCACCAAGAACACCATCCTCAAGACCTACGATGGCAGGTGGGTGGGTGGGTGTGTGTGGGGGGAAGGGGGGTGAGGGGGAGTTGGAGTTGAATTATAAGTCACTGCGTGTCAGAGGCAATGGTCGCTGTATCTGAGCACCAAAAACACCTTCCTCAAGACCCACGACAGCAGGTGGGTGGATGGGTGTGTGTGGGGGGAAGGGGGGTGAGGGGGAGTTGAGTTGAATCATTAGTCACTGCGTGTCAGAGGCAGTGGTCGCTGTACCTGAGCACCAAGAACACCATCCCCTCAAGACCTCCGATGGCAGGTGGGTGGATGACTCTGTGTGTTTGAAGTTTGCGTGTGGGGGGCAGGGAGGAGGGGAGGGACGCTTTTTAGTCCATCCAAAAATCAGCTCGTTCTAGAGACGGTGGCCATTGTATCTCAGCACCAAAAACATTCATCTCACCACCTGCAAAGGAGATGGGTGGGTGTGTGTTCTTTTCAGATTCACACACTACATAATTCACACGTTCTGTGTTACACCCTTCCCACATGCTTTCCCGCATGCTTTTCCTCCCTGCACAAACGTGCAGGTTCAAGGACAAATTCCAGGATGTGTACGAGAGCAAGTGGAAGACGAGGTTCTATGAGTACCGGCTGATCCACTTGCAGAAAGCAAGTGGAAGGCTCCCGGGTTCTATGAGCACTGGCTGATCCATGACATGGTTGCCTTCTGCCTCACGAGCCCGGGAGCATTCTCCTGTTCACAAGTCTATGTGCCTCCCTCTCTGCGTGCAGGTTCAAGGACATTTTCCAGCAGGTGTACGAGAGCAAGTGGAGGGAGAGGTTTGAAGCAGCAGGGATGTGGTACGAGCACCGGCTAATCGATGACATGGTGGCCTTCTGCCTCAAAAGCCCAGGAGCGTTTACCCATCCATGCATGCAGGTTCAAGGACATATTTCAACAGGTGTACGAGAGCAAGTGGAAGGCGAGGTTTGAGGCAGCACGGGTGTGGTACGAGCACCGGCTAATCGATGACATGGTGGCCTTCTGCCTCAAAAGCCCAGGAGCGTTTACCCATCCATGCGTGCAGGTTCAAGGACATATTTCAACAGGTGTACGAGAGCAAGTGGAAGGAGAGATTTGAAGCAGCAGGGGTGTGGTACGAGCACCGGCTGATCGATGACATGGTGGCATTCTGTCTCAAGAGCCCGGGGGCGTTTGTGTGGGCGTGCAAGAACTACGATTGGGACGTGCAGAGTGACATGCTAGCTCAGGGTATATGGGGAGGGAGAGCAGGGAGGATATTCTATGTGGCATTGGTGGGCGTTTGTGTGGGCGTGCAAGAACTACGATTGGGACGTGCAGAGCGACATGCTGGCTCAGGGTGGGTGGGGTGGGTGTGTTGAAGGAGGAGGAGAGTGGCTACACTGAAGAATTATGTGTGGCCAGTAGTGTGAGGCGCAATGTGCAGTGCAGTGTGGGCCGAGAGAGAAACCACAGAAACTGCAGACTTTTGAGTCGACTCAAAACTCGACTCAGTAGTGTGAGGCCCAATGTGCAGTGCAGTGTGGGCCGAGAGAGAAACCACAGAAACTGCAGAGTTTTGAGTCGACTCAAAACTCGACTCAGTAGTGTGAGGCCCAATGTGCAGTGCAGTGTGGGCCGAGAGAGAAACCACAGAAACTGCAGACTTTTGAGTCGACTCAAAACTCGACTCAGTAGTGTGAGGCCCAATGTGCAGTGCAGTGTGGGCCGAGAGAGAAACCACAGAAACTGCAGACTTTTGAGTCGACTCAAAACTCGACTCAGTAGTGTGAGGCCCAATGTGCAGTGCAGTGTGGGCCGAGAGAGAAACCACAGAAACTGCACCGGGACTTGTTCGTTGACAAATTTGTTTCTGCCTTGTGCCGTTCATCACTACTTGTTACTTGACAAATTCGTTTCTTCCTTGTGCCGTTCGTTGCTACTTGTTTCTGACAAAGGCTCGCTGTTTTCCCCTCTTGCAGGGTTTGGCTCCCTTGGACTCATGACCAGCATTTTGGTGAGTAGCTAGCTGCCTCTGTTGCTTTTCCAGTGCTGCTTTGCCAATGGCGATTTCTGTAGCTTGAGTAGAAGACCTCGAGCATTCTGGTCGCATATCTGGTCTTGGGGTGTGCAGGGATTCGGAGTACCGACAGAGATTCATTACATAGGATATGTTGCCTTATGAACCTTGCTCTGAAATGAACCTTGCTCTGAAATGAGCCTTGCTCTGAAATGAGCCTTATGTGTGCCAGGTGTGTCCAGACGGAAAGACAGTAGAGGCGGGGGCAGCACACGGCACAGTGACACGGCACTACCGCGTGCATCAGAGGGGCGGGGAGACGAGCACCAACAGCATTGCATCTATCTTTGCCTGGTCCAAGGGGCTTGCTCACCAGTGGGTGGGGTTTGGTTAGACACGTGGATTGGGGAGCAGGTGGGTTGCTCGGCGGGTGGGCCATAGAAAGCTTGGCGTGCTGGACCATCAGAGGGGCGGGGAGACGAGCACCAACAGCATCGCCTCCATCTTTGCCTGATCCAAGGGGCTTGCTCACCGGTGCGTGGGGGGGACAGATGATTTGGTCGCAGGTGAGTTTGGGGGGCAGATGGATTGGTAGAAGGTGGGCTGTGAGGTGTGAAGGGGAGCAAGCAAGCATTCTTTTGTGTTTGGAGGCGATGCTGAGTAGCGTGGGTGTCCAAACCAATCAGCAAAGGATGACTTTCTCTGTCATGTGCCGCCCCTTCCTGCTTTCTCACCCCCCCAACCCTTCTTCCTTCCTTCCTTCCTTCCTTCCTTCCTTCCTTCCTTGCCCCTGCCTCCGCCCTTCCACATGCCCCCCTCTTCCAGCGCCTCTCTCGGCGGCACGGCAACAGCAGGCTCCTGGAGTTATGCAACCAGCTGGAGGCGCCGTGCACTGAAAACGGATCTTGCTTCCTGCCCCTTTCTTCCTTCTCCCGCCCCCACATGCCCCCCCATGCCCCCCCATGCCCCCCTCCATGCCCCCCCATGCCCCCCCATGCCCCCCTCCATGCCCCCCCATGCCCCCCTCCATGCCCCCCCATGCCCCCCTCCTCCAGAGCCTCTCTGGATGGCAACAGCAGACTCGCAGCGTTCTGCAACCAGCTGGAGGCGGCGTGTGTTGAAACGGTGGAGAGCGGTGGAATGACCCGTGACCTGGCGCTACTAGTGCATGGGAACAAGTGCGTTGAGAAGTACCATTTCTCCAGCCTTTCCCCTGACAATCCCGAATCGCCTGTGATTCTCGCCCTTGCACAGCAGTCCATCCCCTCATTTTGCATTCCCACAATTTCAACCGCCTTACCCACATTACTCCCCCAACACCCGCCCATCACTCCCCCTGCCACCGCAGAGTCTCGCGTGCAGACTACCTCAACACGGAGGAGTTTATAGATGCAGTTGCCACCTGTCTTAGACAACGCTTGTCAGGTGGAGGGGAAGGGTGTGACGGGCGTAGCAGGATGTAGGACGGCTGTGGCATTTTATTGTACTAACCAAGTTTGGATGGCATACATTGTGTGAACATGATGGCAGTGGCCATTTGTTTTCTTTCGGTGTGCAGTGCAAGCAACCTAGTGCTGCCTGCACTATCTTTCTGGAAGATGGGCTCGCTGTGTCTCTTTTGTTTTCTTTCTTTTTTCTTTCTTTCTATACGATGCGCACCCATTTTTATTATAACATAATGGACAATCTGTTGGTATAAATCTGTTTCTATAAGGCGTATGTCAGATATACCTGGCACCTATCAGCTGACCTTACACACGCACAAGCAGTCGCGTCCTTCACCATTTCCACTTACCCTCCCAGGTTCCCCAATACTAGAGCTGAGCCGCTTAGATTCGCGCTAGGAAACGCGGCAGACGGGTGCGTCGATCTAGTGGGAAGAGTGAAATGGACGGGACTGACGGATTTGACAGGCCAACTTGCCTTGTTGCGTGTTACACCTGATGCCCATTTCAGTCCCGTTCCCCATATTTTCCTGTGCTCCTCTTTCGAGCACGCGCTCGCTACGGGAAAATGGGACTGTATCTGGGTAGCCTGGCGTGTCTTGTCTGGGAAACTCGAATAACTTATTCGAGGTCAAGAATATCTTAGTTTTGTCGTGGGCTAGTAACGCGCGGGCCGTTGGCAGTGAATGTCGACCACTGGGCGTATGGAGTGGCAGTGGGCGTGTTCAGAATGGGCGGTTGAGTGAGCATTAGGGTGTACCCGAGCCACCCAGTTTCGAACCAGCTCAGCCAATCACGGATTAGCAGCTCGACGACGCTTCCCTCTCTCTTCGAAGAGCCACCAGAAGCATTCGTCGCCATCCCGCGTCCAGGCGTCTCTCCCACCGCTTCTACGTCAGCTCCACGTTAGCACGGCCGCGCAACGTCCTTTCGGCGAACCTTGAAGGCATCGTCACCCGTGTTCGCGATACAGCCTCATGGATCCGGCGGATTGCGAAAGCGACTTGGTCGCAGCGCCTCGGGATCTTATCCAGAATCCAAGACCGCGGAATGTTCTTCACAGCAATTCGCGTCCAAGCGTTGGTTACGGCTGGTTCGTTCGCAGTGCGAGCGAATCCGACTCGCCCGGGTAGTAGCGTGACGCGTCGAGCACTTCACCGCGAAGTCCTGACAGTATAAAAGGGCGCTACTATCACCGGGTAAATCATCCACAACCACTGCTTTGCGGCCTGAAACTCATTCCGCAACACACGCAGAGCAACTCAAGTGCTCCTGCTCCTGCTCCTGCTTCTGCTTCTGCTTCTGACTCCACACACGTCGACCGTCGCAAACTCACCTTCGTTACTATCCTCGCCTACTTCCTCACTCGTCGTCGTACCTCCCTTCGCGGCGGCGATATGGCTCTTTTGCTTCGCTCCCTGACGCTCACCGCGGCGGTTGTCCTCGCGGCCGCTGCTCTCCTCGCCGCTCTTCCCGCCGCGAGCGCCGCGGGAGTGGATTACAGCAGGAGCGGCCTCGACTGGGAGGTGCGTGAGCCGCCGCCTGGTGGCGTGTGAGCAGGGGGGTGAGGAGCGAGCGAGTGGGACGCGAGAAAGGTGCTATTTAAGATGGTGTCATACTCCATACTTACCGTAGTTGCCTCACCATGCTTTGGAGATGGATTGCCATCGTGGCTGTCCGTTGACTCCTCTCCAATGGCACTCACACCCTCTCTCTCTCTCCCAATAGCTCGTCAGGGCGTGTGTGAGTCGGGTGAGCGCCAGTCGCCAATCAACATCGCGATGAACGAGGCAACGACCGTCTCCCTTGCCGCCCCCTCCTCTCTCATCCGACCTCTCTCTCTTCCCCTCTCTCTCCCTCCACGACCCACTCCCCATTCCCCACTTCCCTCCCTCACTCCTCGCCAGGGCATCTGTGAATCAGGCGAGCGCCAGTCACCAGTCAACAACGTGATGAACAATGCAAGGCCCACCACTCTCACTCCCCTTGCTCTACCCGTTATCTCGCATTCTCTCTTCTCTTCCCCCATACCTCCCTCCACGTCGACACCAGGGCGTGTGCGAGTCGGGCGAGCGCCAGTCACCAATCAACATCGTGATGGACGAGGCAACGACGGTGGACGCACCAGAGAGGTTCTCCTTGGACTATGACTCCGCGCCCACCACTGCCACTGTCGTCAACAAGGGCTACACCGTCCGTGAGTGTTCCTTCCCTCCTCTCTTCAATCCTCCTCCATTTGTGTGTTTGTCACACCCTATTCATACAGTCATAACTCACTCATGCCAGTCGTTGCTTCCCCTAGAGGAGGTCCCCTCCCCCACCCACGCCTACAGGCTGCACATGGCAAGCGGCACATATGAGCTGAAGCAGGTGCACGTGTACGCCTTCTCAGTCCATGCAGTCAACGGGCTGTTTCTCCTGCCCCCTTTTCCTCTCCTCTCAGAGGTGGTTCCTAATCCATCCAGCACTTACAAGCTGCACATTGCAAGCGGAACGTACGACCTGAAGCAGGTGCACGTGCACGCCTTCTCAGAGCATGCCATCAACGGGCTGTTCCCTTCCCTCCCCACCTTCTTCTGTTACCCTCCGTCCCCCAGAGGTGGTCCCTAACCCCGCCCACACTTACAAGCTGCACATTGCCAGCGGAACCTATGACCTGAAGCAGGTGCACGTGCACGCCTTCTCAGAGCATGCCATCAACGGGCTCTTCGCACCCATGGAGGCGCACTTCGTGCACGCGCTTGTGGACGACCCCTCCAAGCTGGCTGTTGTGGGCGTTATGATACGTCTACAGCGCGACGACCGTGCCAGTGATTGGGTCGACTCGTGAGTGGCTCTAAATCATAAGATTTTCTTTTTGTTTTCTTCCCGTTTGCTTTCGAAGCCTTTTTTTCCTCGCTCTGTTACCATACTTGGCCGTCCATCACGAGTCTTGAAACACCCCATCCTTTAAGTTTTCTTGTCTTCACCATCCATCACCGACTGTATTCCGCACAGGTGGTTGGCTCAGACCCCCTCGGAGGTGAACGGGACGGCAACCATTGATCTCCCCAATAACTTCTGGAGGGAGACGGTGGACACATCCATGGGGGTTTGGCGCTACCCCGGCTCGCTCACCACATTCCATTCTATCTCACGGCTGTTTTTCACTTCTATTCCACACAGGTGGTTGGGCAGCACCCCCTCAGCGGTGAACGGGACAGCCACCATTGATATCCCCAAGAACTTCTGGAGGCAGATGGTGGATGTGTCCATGGGATTCTGGCGCTACCCCGGCTCGCTCACCACACCGGGATGCGATGAGATTGTGGAGTGGCATGTGCTGCGCAAGGTTCAGTTCCTCTCCGTTGCTCAGGTGAGAGGGTCTTAAGCATGCTTGCTTGTGTCCATGGGGTTCTGGCGCTGCCCCGGCTCGCTCACCACGCCGGGCTGTGATGAGATCGTGGAGTGGCATGTGCTGCGCAAGGCCCAGTTCCTCTCCGTTGCCCAGGTGAGAGCTCCTGTAAGCATGCTCGCTTGTGTGCATTCGACGATTTCACAGATAAGTGTTGTTCAAACTGAATTTTCTCCATTCATCCCTGTCTCCCTTGTTCCGACGCCCTGCTCCACATCCTGCCCTCTCTCAGGCTGCGAAATTCATGAATCTTATGGCCAGCATGAACAAGGAGCGCACAAACAACCGCATGCCCGAGCCACTCAATGGCAGGGAGGTCACCTACTTCTCTAAAGTCACAGCCTGATTACTGCATAGCATGGTCCTGATCGATGGGCATGGTCATAAATCTAGATGACACTTTACTAGGTCCTTGAGACGATGTATGTTTTTTTTTTCGCAATGAATTCCTCATTTTCCAAATTCCTGGTACAAATTTATATTTTGCACAAACATCAATGCTATGTAACAGTATAATCTTGCTTTCATTCAAGAAAATAACACTCAATTTGATATTCTATGTGCGATGTACATAAAATCCACAATCACTTCATATTTCCATAGCATCCAACTTGCCTTGACTCTTCCCTTTGAAGCATGTTCTGGCTCTTGCGCCAATCCGAGTTCGGCGTGGTCAGCAGTGGGCCGACTCCAAACCTCGGAATGGTTGCAATCGTGTGATGATGATCCACGCACCGACACGCACCGTGGCCAAATTGCGCTTCGGATGCGAGTCGCGACCCCACATAAGCATCACCGCACTCCATTCAGCACCGCGTACGGTCAACCGCATCAGCAGTCCCCTACCCCTCTCTGCGACATTTCAGGGTTTCCAAGCGACATTGAACGACGACATCACTCCCTGGGCGAAAAACGTGGTGCGCCATGACCATGAGGTTGCGGCCGTGCGACACATCAAATGCTGTCGCTGCTTGCGCCTCTGCTCCTTGCTCCCACTCGTGGCGGAAATCGCCCACCCTTTTGGGCGCGATTTCCAGCACCATCTGTACAACACCCCTCCAGGAAACAGGTCACGACTCGTGTGGTGCTTCTTTATGTGCTCACACAAAAGCCACATGAAATTACTATTTCTCATCAGTCACCGTGCTTTCGCCAAACGCCAGGGCTACTTCCCTCGCACTAGACATTGACCTTAGCAAAACCTTCGGAGCCTGCTTGTGCTTAGAGGTCGTGTCAAGCGTAGCATAGGCTCACATGGATCGCAGACCACTTCTAGCCGTTCTAGTACTTGCGTTGACATCCAGCGTACACGCATGGAACTACGTCAAGAGCGGCCAAGACTGGACGGTACGTCCATCTATTGCTTAGTTTCTCGTACTGAAATGCCCGTCTTCGAGTCACCCTTAATAGAACCGTTGCTCCTGGTTCAAGACATGGGTGCACGGGGCACGTCGGCCTTCACGAGATCATGCCGTTCCACGGGAACGAAGGCACGGGTTTCATTAGCTTGAAAAAAAAAAAAAAAAAACAAATATTTAGCGCGACTGTAGGCGCCATTGCACATGAACCCATTCGTCTTTCACCAGTCTCTTCATGTTCTGTATTTTCCCTTCTCCCCTCCACGCGTCCCTTGTCGTGTCAACAGGGTGCGTGTCAAACGTCGCGCGCGCAATCGCCGATTAACATCGAGCCGTCAATGGCAATAAAGGGCAAGGACCTACGCTTCCTCAACATCAGCTACGCCCTCAGCAAATCGCTCACCGTCTCCAACTTCGGCTTCACTGGAGGTACGCTTCCCACACTAACACTCACACACAATTCTTCGACTTGACTAGTTAAAAAAAAGCCCAAGTGCGTCTAAGTCTCGACGCGATCTCGTTCCTGACTAATTGAGGTCGGTTTCGGCTTTTGTTGTATTCTGTCTGCTGATCCCACCAGGGGTGCAACCGCAAGCGGGAACGGAGAATTTCATGTACACGTCCACGGGCAAGTTTCGTCTGCTCGGCATTCTGCTGCACGCCACGTCGGAGCACACCATTCTCGGCGCGCCCGCGCCGCTCGAGGCGCATTTCGTGCACGAAAACGTCGCCAACCCCGCGAAGGGCGCCATCATATCCGTGATGATCGTGATTCACAAGAACAACGTCCGAAACCCGTGGCTCGACAAGTGAGTACCCCTGCGAACTTAATGAGCATTCTGCGCACCGGGAAGCACGTCTGCGCTGTCCCTGCGACAACCAATCACAAAAAACGCCTACTCGCCATTTTCTCATATTCCCCACCTCCCTATTTTGTTTCCCCTTCCCTGCCCTTCGCCGCTTTTCATCGCCCTTCCCGCCCGTCCGCGCCTGGTTTTTTGCGCAGGTGGCTGCCGTACGTTCCCAAGGCTGTGAACACGTCGGTGGCGGTGCCGGCGACGACCAACTTCAAGGAGGCACTGAACGTGAAGTACGGCTTCTGGTACTACAAAGGGTCCACCACGTACCCGCCCTGCGCGCCCAACATCGAGTGGTTCATCCTCAAGCGCGGCCTCTACGGCTCCGTCCAGCAGGTGAGCGCACAGGCGAATACGTGTCTCGTCGCTTTTCCACTTGCAAGATATTTTGATCCTTGGTTTGAGTCTGATGTGCTAATGATGCGCCCCGAAATTGAAACCCTGGATCAATTTCGCTTTATATTAATGGACTGCGTGATTCTCCGTAATTCTCGCTCAGAAACGGTTTTTTCGCCTGTTTCCTCCCACCCCCAGATCGAGGGCTACATGAACTTGCTCGCCGCATCCAGCGGTCAGCGCACCAACAACCGTCTCCCTAGGCCAATCAACGGCCGTCGGGTCATCTCGTACCCCAAGCAGGGCAAGAAGAAACGGGTGTAGGGTTCTAGACAACGCGTTTAGAAGGTCTAAATTCGTACATTAGACGCCCTGTTCCGCAGCCGAATAAAAAGCTCAAAAACCACTATTTAGGTTTCCCTATTCTAGTATGTTGTATGAATTGTACTAATTTCATAAGAATGTGTTACCACGGAGTGTACTGAATAGATTGCTGACTGCTCGTTATGTTGAACCCCCAACCCCTTGGGGATGGTTGTGCATGTCAATGTGCCTCGAGCCGCTGGCAGCAAGTTGAGTGCCTGGTGGATGCTAGTATGCGCGCTCGATTAATATTGTCTCACCTCCACGTGACTCGCACTTGCGTGACACGCACCAGTCTGAAATTATACCAACCTAACAAGTCGTTCATATTCAAAACGAGCTTGGTTATCCTCCGTTATATGCTTCCCTCCCGAGTCCCGACACAGAGCCCAGCTCTAATATAGCAGTCCCCGTTCTTCCTGCTCTCGTTGGATCCAACGGCAACATGCAAGAGCCACGCACCCAAGGACCAAGGCACGCAGACGAGACAGAGCAGCAGGCCCGCCGCGAATCCAAATCGCCACCACCTGCGTCAACGCTGTCGCGAGATGAAGCGTCTCTGAGGAGCAGCAAGGCCCCCACCCCTCCCGCTGGTGCCCTTCCACGCGCCACCTCAGCACCTATGCCTGCTTCTTCCACGCCTCCTGCTAAGGAGAAAACGACCGTTGCGAAGCCAGGCAGCAAGAGCCTGGCTGAGCTTGTGAGGGATACGGATCTGGAGCCGGACGAGGAGGTTGTTAGGTACGGCGAGATGAAGGACTATGTTGAGGCGATGGCTAAGGCTCGCTCTCCTGGAAAGGGTGCTGCTGAGAGTGGGAAGGAGGGAAAAGGGAGCAGTAGCGGTGCTGTTTTGAAGACTGAGGGGATTCACGCCATTCCAGATGAGGTACAGTAAATTGAGACAGCAGTGATGTTTGTATGACTTGCTTTTCTAGTGGTTAGACGCCAGTGAGAAGCTGATCTTGTTGTTTGGTTGGACCCTTTGCAGGAGGTGAAACACCAGAAGCCCCAGAAGCAGGCATGACCATTGATAAGCTGAGAAGCAGCAATCTTTCTCTAGTAAAAGAGGGCCTGTATTGAGCAGTAAAAGAGGGCTATAAACCACCTATGGTGAGGGAGTAGGCTATAAGCGAATTGAAATGTGCGTGCTTGTTCACTTGTGCATATTAGGTGTCTTTTCTGAGCATTGCTGGTCTCAAGAAAAGAATCTAGCGTTTGCAGCCAATTCCCAACAAAATTTCGAAATCACGTTTCTCATATCCGTACTCTGTATACCAGTATGCCTACTCCAGTCGAGTTGGATCTACAGTATCAATGACAATTTCACAAAAAGTGTAGCTAGTGCATGCGGTTCGGGAAATCTTTGTCCTGACGTGTCAGTGGCAAGATTGGTCCACTTGGAGGACAGGGACGAGCTGGCGGGACCCCCCTCACGTCAGCAAGGGGCTGGGCTGGTTTGGGGGGGGGTTGGTGATGGCACTGTACTGTAATGCCAATGTTGCGGCTCGAGTCGCTTCCAAAACAATTTCCAATCTGCATGCAAATGCTATTCCACAAGCAGCACATACACCCTCCCACCCACCCACCCACCCACCACAAATATCCCGCACCCACGCTCAGAAGCGCCATCTCCCTCCCCGATTTCCAAACCGCAACGATCGAGTGAAACGTGCATCTGCATCTGCCGAATTCCCGCACCACGCGATCATGGAGAAGGTCAAGGAGATCTTCGGCGGAGAGAAGAAGCGAGAGGAGCCTCGCGAGGGCGAGTACGGATACGGCTCGCGCGGAACAGCTTCAGGCGAGCCAGAATATGGTGGCCACGGACAGCAGCGTCGCGGGCACGAGTACGAGCGGGAAACACCCAGCTACGGCGGCGGATCTACTGAACGCTCGGGATATTCCGGTGTGACAGGTCGCGAGAGAGGCACTGAGTATGGCGGCACGGGCCCGACTGGCTATGGTGGTGAAACTGGCTACGGCGGCGAAACTGGCTATGGAACCTTCTCCGGAGGTGAAGGCAAAGCCGGTGGGCGTCATCATCATGGCACTCGCGAAGAGACTACTGGCTATGGTGGAACTACGGGATACGGAGGGACGACTGGGGGAGGTAATACGGCTGGATACGGCGGCACGACTGGCGGAGGTACAACTGGATATGGCGGCACGGCTGGGGGAGGTACAACTGGATATGGTGGCACGACTGGTGGAGGCACAGCTGGGTACGGAGAACTTCATGGGGAGCGCGGATATGGGGAGCGCGGATACGGGGGACGCGAGGAACGTCTTGGAGGTCGTGAATACGGTGAAGAACGCGAGACCGAGGAAGAGGTAATGTCCCTTCGTCAATCTGTTCTTTTTTCTGTGTGTTTTTATTTACCGAATGCATTTATACAGTCCGTCCGCTATTTTCTCACATTCTTTTCTAACCTCTTGACAAGCATCTCGGTTCTCGGTACGCTCTGAGAAACACCAGAAGATGCGCAAGGAGTACGAGGGGCACAAACGCGGAGAGCGCATCGGTGAGGCGATTGCTGCCGGTGCTGCTGCGTATGCGGCTCACGAACGGCATGAGAGGAAGGAGGACGAGGAGGATATCAAGGAAAGGCAGAGGGAGGCTGAGGGCGGTCACAAGAAACATGGCTGGTTTGGCTAGAAGGTTGCAGTGCAACCACGTGATTCTTATCTGAATGGGGTTCTGATCTGAAGGTAGTTGGTAACCTCGACTGTGTCTTGTACAGTCCAACCTGCTATGCATTCTTTCTACAGCTTGCTGTTTGTTACTTGCATGCTGTTGTAGAACACTAGTTCATCTCAGAATTGATTCTGCAACTTTTAGACATAAAAACATGCAAGCTAGTTGGCACCGTTATCAACAGTCAGCTGCCCATTTGTGTGCAACATAAAACGTCCCAACCACTTCACCAGCCACGGTTTTAACAGCTAATCCTGTCCCAAAGTCATTCCCTGTATTCCTCAAATCTACCTCAAATTGGCACTTCATATCCTCAACATGAGTCTCTCATATCAGTCATTCTACCATCACCACCTTAGCAGACTCGATGTTAGTCTCACTCACGCTCCACTCACGTACAATCTTAACAAACAGGTACCGGTATACCAACTGCCCCTTGGTCTGCATGACTACGTCCTCAGATCCATCACCTCCAGCCCCCTCCCGTCACCCCTCAACCAATCCCTTCAGCTCATTCTCAACTCCCTCAACTTCTCAACTTCCTCCTCCTCATATCCCTCACTCTCTCACACACAAACAGGTCTACCAGCAACCCCTTGGTCATAGTCCTCAAATCAAGCACATCCAGCCCCCTCCCCTCGTCCGTCAACCGATCCTTCAGCTCACTCTTCAACACCTTCTGAACACCTCCTCAGATACCTCCTCAGACTCCTCACACTCACTCACTCCTGAACAAACTTCACAAACAGGTCAACCAGCTGCCCTTTAGTCGGCGTCCTCACATCCAGAACATCCAGCCCTCTCACCTCATCCGTCAACCGATCCTTCAGCTCACTCTTCGTCAACTTCCCAACACCACCGCCCCCATTCCACCACCGCCCCCATTCCACCACCGCCCCCATTCCACCACCGCCCCCATTCCACCACCGCCCCCATTCCACCACAACCCCCATTCCCCACTCTCACTCTCGAACAAACTTCACAAACAGGTCTACCAGCTGCCCTTTCGTGGGCGTCCTCAAATCCAGCACATCCAGGCCCCTCCCCTCATCCGTCAACCTGTCCTTCAACTCACTCTTGGTCATCCTCATCGCAATCTCCCTCCGCCTCTTCGCCACGTCAGACTCCCCTGCCACGTCAGCAGCCGTCACGGCCCCCACCCCCGCCGCCGGCCTCCCTCTCCCCTTCCTCCCTCCCCCACCCCTCCTGCCCCTCCCTCTACCCCTACCCCCCTTGCTGCTCTCAGCCTCATCCCCTTCAGTGGTTCCCTTCCCCTCTCCAGCACCAAACACACCTCCGAACGAGGCTGTATCCATGTCCATCTCACTGCCCTGCCCTGTTGCCTGGGCTGATTCAAACCCAGTGTTGTTTGACGCTGTGGGTGTTGGTGCAACTCCTGCTGCTGCTCCTCCTCTTGCTGCTGCAGCTACTGCTCCTGCTGCTCCTGCTCCCCCCTCTGCTGCAGAGGCTGTTGGTCCTGCTGCCCCAGACGCACCAGCACCATCAGCAGCAGCAGGTGTACGTTTTCCTGTACCCCTGCCTCTCCGCTTGGCCCCTTCTCCCGCTGCTGCAGCGTCGCCTGTCACAGCACTATCACCCGCCCCTTCCACCCCCGCCCCTGCAACACCTCCCGCAGTACCACCTGCACCAGTTAACCCTGCCTCAGCCGCACCACCCTCTCCACCAGTCCCACCTTCCCCAGCAGCACCACCCTCCCCTGCAATCCCACCTTCCCCAGCAACAGCCGTCCCCAGTCTCGCCCTCTTCCGCTTCCTCCCCGCCTCCTCTCCTTCAACCTCCATCTCCTCCGCCCCCTCTCCCTGCCCATCACCCCTCTTCCCCTCCCCTCTCCCCCTCTCCCTCTCCCTCTCCTGATTCCCCCTCATAGCCACTTCCAGCATCCCCCTTAGCCGCAAAATCTCCTCCTCTCTCACTCTCACCGCCCCTTTCATCTCCTCCCTCTCGTTCCTCACCACCCCCATCTCCACTCTCATCCCCTCCACCACCGTTCTCAACCTCTCCAACTCCCCTTTCAGCCGCTCCATCTCACTCCTAGCTTCTCCCTCCTTTCTCCTCCACCCCTCCCTCTCCACCTCACACACTGCCAGCATCGCCATAGTTTCCCCAACCTCCTCCTTCCTCCTCCCCACTTCTCCCCTCAGCTCCTCGATCTCCCTAACCATACCTTCCACTTTCCCCTTCCCCTCCTCCTCCCCTTCCGCTGCCCTCAATCTCAACCCCTCTAGATCCCTCTCAACCTCTCTAGCTCTCCTTTCCGCAGCTTCTGCCCTCTTTCCTGCCACCTCAGCTGCTGACTGTGCCACCTGGACCTCCTCCATTGCCATCTGGAGATCTTTCGCTGCTGAGTCAGCACGAATGCCAGCCTGGCGTGCCAGCTCAGCCTCCCGCCGGGCCGCCAGCTCAGCAGCAGTCCGCGCTGACTCAGCCTGACGCAGCTGGCGCTCCATCTTCTCTGTCGCTTCTTCTGCTGCAGCCTTGGCCTCCCGCGCAGCCTGGTTGAAAAAGAGAGGCAACAGGGAGGAGTGGGTAAGGAAACGGGAGAGGGTGCAAGCACTGGGACTGGGGCGTACACATGTGTCACGGAAAAGCCCTATCCCCTGCCTCTCCTTTGTCTGCTGCAGCCTTGGCCTCCCGCGCAGCCTGGTTGAACAAGAGAGGCAACAGGGAAGAGTGGGCAAGGAAACGGGAGAGGGTGCGTGCAAGCACTGGGGCGACTGTGAGTCGACTCAAAAGTCACCAAGCACTGGGGCAACTTTTGAGTCGACTCAAAAGTCACCAAGCACTGGGGCGTACACATGCGTACGGAAGAGCCCTATCCCCTGCCTCTCCTTTGTCTGCTGCGGCCTTGGCATCCTGTGCAGTCTGGGAACAAACAGGGTTGGGAGACATCTCAATGACACCGGGCACTGAAGAGTGTGCATGTAAGTCCCAAACATGGCCATATCTGCACGCTCTTGCTCACGCTCTTGAGCCATATCTGCACGCTCTTGCTCGCACTGCCAGCCATTCTGCTCTCATGCTCCCTCATGCTCTCCTCAGCCTGCCTCTGCTACCTCACCTCAGCGTAAAGGCAACTACTCCCATACGTGAAGGCATGTGACTATCAAACACGGCCATACCTGCACGCTCTTGCTCGCGCTGCCAGCCGTCCTGCTCGCCTCTCTCATGCTCTCCTCAGCTTGCCTCTCCCTCGCCTTTGCTTCCACCAACGCCTTCTCCGTTGCTGCCAGCCGTGCTGCCTGCGACTGCAATAGGAGAGAGTGTGGAAGAGACGGGGAGGAGTGGGTTGTAAGGGAACCAAGGGGGAAAGGGGAAGCAATCAGCCTGCCTCTCCCTCGCCTTCGCCTCCACCAACGCCTTCTCTGTTGCTGCCAGCCGTGCTGCCTGCGACTGCAATGGGAGAGAGGGGGGGACGAGTGGTAACCGGTGGGCTGAGAATTCTCAAAGTTCCCCAAATACACGTGTCACACTTCACTCACACCGCCTCGCTTCCAGCTTAACCAGGCGTGTTTTGAGTCGACTCAAAGCATAACTGCGCTCTCGAAGTTCCCTCAATGCGACACGTGTCACACTTCACTCACACCGCCTCACTTCCACCATCTTCAACTTCAGCTCACTCTCCTTACCCAACACCCCCTTTGTCCGCTCACCCCCTCTCCTCGCACACCACCTCACCTCCAGCTTCGTCTTCAGCTCGCTTGCCTCTGCCGCTGCTTTGGATGCCGCCGCTGCTTTGGTTGCCTCTGCTCACAACTGCTGCTCCAACTGCTAGCACTGCTGCATCCCTCTAAACCTCACTCAACCCCCCTTCTCACGCACACCACCTTACCTCCAGCTTCGTCTTCAGCTCACTCGCTTCTGCTGCTGCTTTGGATGCCTCTGCTCGCATCTGCTGCTCCAACGCACTCTGCCAATACGATAACGCGGTGGGGCATAAGCTCAGAAGTTATACCACAGGGGGGCATAACAGAGAAGGTGTTCAAATCGGCAGAGCAGGGCCAGGGATGTGGGGGCCGGGGGTGATTCAAGACTGGATAACAGTCAAGGAGCATGTCTAGCTGCATTAAAATCCCCCAAAAACCTTTTCCACCCCATCCGATCCCACCCCACCCCACCCAATCCCACCCCACCCCACCCCATCCCAGCATCGCACCTTCTCCTTCTGAATCGCCGCCACTTCAGCCTGCCTCTTCTGCCGCTCCCTCTCCACCTCCCCTCGCAGCCCCTCCCTCTCCCCAACCACCTTCTCCACCTCCCTCTTCCCCTCCCCCACCTCCTTCTCATACATTCCCCTCCACTTCACCTTCTCACCTTGTTCCTCCCCCACCCTCCTCTTCGCCTCCTCAAGCTGCCCCTTCACCCTCTCAACCTCCCCACTCACCCTCCTCACCTCCTTCTCCCCTCCCTCCCTCACTCTCTCCACCTCCTTTCTCAAGTCCACACACTCCCTCTCTCGCTCCTCCGCCCTCCTCCTCCCCTCCTCCATCTCCTTCCTCATCCTCTCCCTCTCCTCCCTCCCTTCCCCAACCAGCCTATTAGCGTCTGCCAGCTGTCCTTCCACGGCTGCCACCCGTTTCTTCCAGTCCTCAGCTGTGGCGGCCTCCCGAGCCGCGGCCGCAGCTTCGGCGGAGGCCCGAGCCTCGGCAGCCTGCTTGTCCTTGAGTGCAGACGCGGCTTGCTGCCTCGCTTCAGCAACCTCCTTTTCAGCTGAGTCCAAAACAAGCCCGCGCATGCTGCGAGGGGAGGAGGGGGGAAATGGGCAGCAGAGACAGGAGAAGGCCCACAGTTCTGAGACGTCTCAGAAGGCTTGCTGCTTGGCTTCGGCGACCTCCTTCTCAGCAGAGTACAACACAAGCCCTCGCATGCTGCGACGGAGAAACGGGGGAGGGAAGTGGGCAGAGGAGAGGGGAGGGAGCACACGGTTTTGGAGACGCCTCAGAAGGCTTGTTGCTTTGCTTCGGCGACCTCCTTTTCGGCTGAATCCAGCACACGCCCTCGAATGCTGTGAGGATGGGAAGGGGGAGTGGGGCGGGCAGCGGAGAGGGGAGAAGGCACTCAGTTCTGCGAAGGCTTCATGCTTGGCTTGGTAACCTCCTTGTCAGCTGAGTCTAACACAAGCCCGCGCATGCTGTGAAGAGGGAAAAGAGGTTGCCAGTCAGAACGAGTTTTGAGGCGCTTCATAAGGCTTTTGAGGCATGCCCAGCACAAGGACGTGAACACCGCAAGGCGACGGGAGAAGGGAGGCAGGGAGGAACAACTTCTGATGCGCGTTAGTTTCGTGAAGGCACGTTTGCGGTGGCTTTTGAGGCGCCACAACCTTTCTTGCTCGGCCCATAACAACCACCCCACACTGCATGCTGACCTGGCGACAAGGAACGCTGACAAGCAGCGCCACTTGGCAACGCCCGACATGGAAGACTCGTACGCCGCCAGCTCAGCAATCAGCGCACGCACCACGTCAGCAGTCGCCGCCCGGGGAGGCCCCCTGGCGAGCCCCTTGACCTTCGCCTGTAGGGCATCCAGGTACCGCTTGCACCTCACCTCCGCCTCTGCTGCCACTCGCTTCAACACGTCCTGCTCAGACCCAGGGTGGCACAACAAGGCAAAAGGGATGAGTGAAACCACACAGTAGAGTGTCCGCATTGGAAGGGAGGCCCCCTGGCGAGCCCCTTGACCTTCGCCTCTAGGGCATCCAGGTACCGCTTGCACCTCACCTCCGCCTCTGCTGCCACTCGCTTCAACACGTCCTGCTCAGCCCATATGCACATCACAGGCACGGCCAGGCCGAATGAGGCACAGCAAGGCGCAGCAGGGCACAGCAAGGCGCAGCAGGGCACAGCAAGGATCTTCACTCATAGCGGAAGAGCTGCAATTCTGAAGATTGGAAAACGCTTAAAGCAACAGGATCGAAACTTAGAAAATTCTTCCTGGAAAAAAGCTCAGTAGAACTCGTAAAACCCTTTCACTAAAGCAGAACCTTACAGCACAAACCAGTTTCGGCTCACGGGGATCATACCCGCTCAGCCTTCATCAGTGTAGCTCGGATCCACAAAAGAACAGGTTCGGATAGAAGCAGGCTAAGTAGCTAGCACATGCCCTCGAGATCTACAGCAAAAACGAACAACTACCCAGAGTGACAAATCACTCGGCCAGCTAAGCAAATGGGGTACACCCAGGGTGCAAAGTCAGCCCTCGGGGAAATCTTCGTTAACCTGTTCGTTGATGTAACCGCGCGCGCACCAGTAACTTTTGCAAGTTACACGCACACTTCCAAGCTGTATAATTCTCTCCGTATGAAATCCGCGTGCATTGAGGTCGTTTTTGAGGCGCCTCAAAAACGACCCGTATGCACATCACAGGCACGGCCAGGCCGAATGAGGCACAGCAAGGCGCAGCAGGGCACAGCAAGGCAGAGCAAAACGCAGCGGAGTGCAGAGGCAGAACGGTTGAGTTGTGAACAGACGAGGATAACATACGTCATGGTAACATATGAGGCAGACAACTGCTCCGTCTCACATACTTACTTTCTTCCCCGCCTCAGAAAGTACTCTCATATGTGGTAACATACCACAGACAGACAACTGCTCCGTCATGGTTGTCAGACTACTGCTCCGTCTCACATACGTACTTTCTTCCCCACCAGAAATGCATCCTTCCCCCCACACTGAGCCCCACCACACCTCCCCACTCCCCCCTCCTCACATTCCACCTCCTCCCACACCTCACCATGTTTCAACGTACAGCACTGACACCATACCCACGCCACCCCACCCCACCCCACTCCACCCCACTGCACCGTGCCTCACCTGGAACCTCTTCCCAGCCTCCTCCCGCAGCTTCTCCTCGTACTTGAGCCAAGCCCGCCCCTCCCCCACCATAGTCTACCTGCTTTCCAAACACACCCCACCCCCTGCTGTTCGATCAGTGTACGAGGGACGCTTCCCCCACCCATGCCCCCACCCACCACCCACCCACCTCACCCCATGCCACCTCACCCCACCCTACCGCAACCCTCCCCACCCCACTCCACCGCACTGTGCCTCACCTCAAACCTCTTCCCGGCCTCCTCCCGCAGCTTCTCCTCGTACTTGTGCCGGGCCTGCCCCTCCCCCACCGCCTCCTCTCTGAACGCCGCCTCTGCTGCTTGCAGTGCTGCCCTGTGGTGTGCTCTCAGGTCGTCCTGGAAAGGGAGTGAGAGGAAGGAGTGAGAGGAGGGAGCGAGGGGAGGGAGCGAGGAAAGGGAGTGAGGGGAGGGAGTGAGAGGAGGGAGTGAGAGGAGGGAGTGAGAGGAGGGAGTGAGAGGAGGGAGTGAGAGGAGGGAGTGAGAGGAGGGAGTGAGAGGAGGGAGTGAGAGGAGGGAGTGAGAGAAGAGTGAGATACCGAGCAAGCTAGCAACAACATCAGCAGTGGAGCACATCAATTGGCTCCAATCATATTGGAATCATTTTCCGAGATTAAGAAAACCACATGTGCCAGCAGAAAGGCTTACTGCAAGAGGTAGGTAGGGCTCAATGTGGCATGTCAATCCAACACAACACAAGCCCACCTCATCAGCAGAAGCGGGGTTGCCAAATGCTCTGCTGTACGCCTCCAGTGCCGCCTCAAACGCCCTTCTGGTGCTCCCATGAGCAAAGAAAGAAAAGCACCACGTCAATCAGGCAGCACGCACGCATACCTCATCAGCAGAAGCGGGGGTGCCGAATGCTCTTGCATAAGCTTCCAGTGCCGCCTCAAACGCCCTGCGACACTCTGTCTCCTCCACACTCTGCGGGCATCAACAGTCGCACAGGAAAGAGGAGGGAGGAGAGACGAGGGTGAGGAAGAGAAGGGGAGCAGGCAAAGGCTGGTTGCCAAAAGCCTTGCCGTACGCCTCCAGTGCCGCCTCAAACGCCCTGTTTCCTCCACACTCTGTTTCCTCCACACTCTGTTTCCTCCACACTCTGTTTCCTCCACACTCTGTTTCCTCCACACTCTGTTTCCTCCACACTCTGTTTCCTCCACACTCTGTTTCCTCCACACTCTGTTTCCTCCACACTCTGTTTCCTCCACACTCTGTTTCCTCCACACTCTGTTTCCTCCACACTCTGTTTCCTCCACACTCTGTTTCCTCCACACTCTGTTTCCTCCACACTCTGTTTCCTCCACACTCTGTTTCCTCCACACTCTGTTTCCTCCACACTCTGTTTCCTCCACACTCTGTTTCCTCCACACTCTGTTTCCTCCACACTCTGTTTCCTCCACACTCTGTTTCCTCCACACTCTGTTTCCTCCACACTCTGTTTCCTCCACACTCTGTTTCCTCCACACTCTGTTTCCTCCACACTCTGTTTCCTCCACACTCTGTTTCCTCCACACTCTGTTTCCTCCACACTCTGTTTCCTCCACACTCTGTTTCCTCCACACTCTGTTTCCTCCACACTCTGTTTCCTCCACACTCTGTTTCCTCCACACTCTGTTTCCTCCACACTCTGTTTCCTCCACACTCTGTTTCCTCCACACTCTGTTTCCTCCACACTCTGTTTCCTCCACACTCTGTTTCCTCCACACTCTGTTTCCTCCACACTCTGTTTCCTCCACACTCTGTTGGAACCAGAACTGGCAGGGGAAAGAGGAAGGAGGAGAGAAGACGGGTGAGGAAGAGTGAGAGGAAGCAAGGCAGAGGTGGGATTGGTGAGGGGAGCGATAAGGAGGCGAAGGCACTAGAGAACAAAAAGACAGATTTGGAAGAAAGAGTTGAGGCACGCGCACACACACATAACTGGATCACTTTCGAGCTCCCCATGTACGTGATAAATAACGGGAACTCAGAAATTCACTCTCCAGCCAGGAGTTGGTTGAGGATGGTGGAAACAGCCCTGTTATTGAGTGCCAGGATATAAGCTAAATCCCATACTTGCACATTGGCACTCGCAGACAGACACTCCATCATGCACTCACCAGCCAGGAGTTGAGTATGGTGGGAACAGCTCCGTTATTGAGTGCCTGGATATACGTCTGAGTCAGCCCTGCCAGCATCGGGCCCGTCATGACTGTGCCGCCCACCCTCTTTGGGCGAGCACGCGCAAAAACTGCCTGGGTAAAGGCGTCAAGTCCCTGCTTAAACTCGGGGCGTAGCTGGTCCATCTGGAAGAGAAAAGTGCACGTGAGGGAGGGAGGGGAACCACGAGGTGAGATGAGGTGAGGAGACAGTGTATCCAAACACGGCCTGGGTGAACACGTCTAGGCCCTGCTTAAACTCGGGGCGTAGCTGGTCCATCTGGAACACTGAGGAGGGGTGAACGGGCGAAGGGGAGAGGGGGAATGGGAAAAAGTTCCAGTCATGACTGTGGCGTGGCGCCCACCATCTTGCAAGGGCCGAGCACATGCAAAAACGTTCCAGCCATGACTAAACGCGTCTAACCATGCTTGAATTTGAGGCGAAGCAGGTCCATTTGCACGTTGAGGGATGAGTGAGTGTGTGAGAGAAGGAGCTGACTTGAGGGTTATTTGAGAAACCACAAGAATCTCTCATGTGGGGAGAAACAGAAGAAAGGGAGGCAGAGAGGATGTGCTCTGCTTTGATGATGACAAACCAAACCTACAACGAGGTATAAGCACAGAGCAGCACAGCACTCACCGGCAGGTGGTCTAGCTTCTGCAACAGGCGCTCATTGCTGATGGGGCACACGAGGACACATAAGCTATGCAAAGAAAAAGGACACTGCGCAGCAAGGCACAGCACACCACACAGCACTCACCGGCAGGTGGTCGAGCTTCTGCAACAGGCGCTCGTTGCTGATGGGGCGAACGAGAGCGAAGCAGTCGCGATCGGGGAACAGCGAGCGAATGGATTCGCGAATCTGTGCGGGTGAAAAAGAACAGGAAATTGGTTGAGATGGGAATCAGGAAAAGGATGGTGAGAAGAGCTGAACAACCAAGTGCCTGGCGCCTTGCAGCATGCACCGGTGCAGGGAGCATGAGGAAGAGCAACAGCAGAGCAACAGACAGAGCAACCAAGCAACCGCACCACAACCCACACCCCACCACCACCCACCTGGTTCTTGGCCCGTGCAGGCTTAGAGCCCTCTGCCATGGACTGCAGAGCCGTCTCCAGGTGCATGCACAACCCACGCCCCCTACGTACCACTATGTACACCCCACCACGACCCACCACAACCCACCACACCTCACCTGGTTCTTGCCGCATGCAGACAAAGAGCCCTCTGCCATGGACTGCAGAGCCGTCTCCAGGTGCATGCACAACCCACGCCCCCTACGTACCACTGTGTACACCCCACCACGACCCACCACAACCCACCACACCTCACCTGGTTCTTGCCGCGTGCAGACAAAGAGCCCTCTGCCATGGACTGCAGAGCCCACCAAGCCCCACTGCACCCCACCGCATCCCACCAAGCCCCACTGCACCCCACCACGCTCCACCACGCCCCACCACTCTCCACCACGCCTCACCTGGTTCTTAGCCCTTGCAGACTCAGAGCCCTCCGCCATGGACTGCAGCGCCGTCTCCAGATAGTCCCGCGGGGTAATCACGCGGCCATCCTCCGTGAGGTCAAAGTAGAAGTCCTGTTCAGCACGGGTGGAAGTGGGGGGAAGGAGAAAGAGGCGATGGAGGATGAGAGACGATATTGAAGGTACCTACGGTCAGGATGTGATCAGGCGGCCATCCTCCGTGAGGTCAAAGTAAAAGTCCTGTTCAGCACGGGTGGAAGTGGGGGGAAGGAGAAAGAGGCGATGGAGGGCGAGAGGCGAGATTAAAGGTACCTGCGGTCAGGATGTGATCACGCGGCCATCCTCCGTGAGGTCAAAGTAAAAGTCCTGTCAGGCGAGAGGGTATATGCAAGACGAGAGGGTATATGCAAGAGGAGAGGGTATATGCAAGAGGAGAGGAGCGAAGAGGAGAGGAAGCAGCAGTGGAGTGTGAACGGAAGTGAGAGAAAGAGGTGAGACAGGAGGTAGTCCCCTGGGGTGATCACACGGCCGTCCTCTGTGAGATCAAAGTGAAAGTCCTATCAGGCAAAGGTGGGTGGGCGAAAGGGGCAATGGATAGACGAGGTGTAAGAGAGAGAAGAAGCAGAGGGGTAAGAGGAATTGTCATGACTGCAAGCTCAGAAGCCAGACGAACAGAGGCGGGAAGAGCTGAGGGGGAAAGAGCAGAGAAAGGCGAGAAAGGCGGTGACGAGAAGAGCACATGTGCACAGAAGTTCAACGACCATGGAGAAGCGGTGTAGTGAAGACATGACCACTCCGTGTAAAGAGTGAATTCTTTAGACGTCTCAAAAAGGGCGGCGACGAGAGGAGCACATGAGCACAGAAGTTCAACGACCATGGAGAAGCGGTGTAGTGAAGGCTTGACCACTCCTGTTGTGAAACGCCTCACACCTCACCCTGATTGCAAAACGTACCCTCAAAAGCCAGAAGAACACGGGTGAAAAGAGCCCCAGCTCCCTCCCTAAGACCGCTGAAAGCATTACGGTGGTTCAAATTCAGCAGCCACGCATCCCAGAACGTACCCTCAGCAGCCAGAAGAATACAGGCGAAAAGAGCCCCAGCTCCTGCGTGGCAGAAGATGACCCAGCAGCAGCACCCGCCCCTGGTCCTCCTGCTGCTCCTGCGGTGTTGGCGCGCACTTGGATGTGCTTGGCCATCTCCGTGACCATGGAGAGGCGGTCCAGAGACGACTCGTCGATGCCGCCCATCTGGTTGTACACGAACAGCGATGACAGCAGCACCGCCAGCGAGAAAATCTGCGTGCTGTACGTGCCCTGCACATGCGGTAATTCAGAAGGACCGTGGGGAGGAAGATTGTGGGATGCTGGGGATGGGCACTGTGCGAACATCCACGCATGCTTGAATCACATATCCTCCGCACATACATGCAGGCTTCTGTTCCTCACACATCAATCCTGACGTCTGTTGCCCACACCAGAGCCTGAACCACCAGATTCATCCTGGTCGTCATTTAGTCTCACTATCTGGTTGCACGCGTTGATGCCACCCGAGCTCAGCAGCAACAGATGATACGAGGAGCCATCCTGCGCTGTCACCACGGACTCAACCGTGACGGTCCAAAAACACTCACCGTTTGATCGTACGCGTCGATGCCCTCTGAGTCCAGCAGCAGCAGGTGGTACGACGATCCGTCAGGTGCCGTCACCTTCACCGGCGAACTCCAGATCCACAGCCCCTTGGTGCACGGCCGGTGTGTCGGGCCTACAGTGAACCCGCTGCTGCGACCCAGCAGCTGCGGAGGAAGGGTTAGGAAGGGAAAGAGGGGACCACATGAGAACAACCGCAGCGACCAGGTACACGGACAGCGCAGCAGCTAGGGATTCGCGCACTGACGTACATGCGAGGGACCAATGATCGAGACATCTCTTGAACGTCCAGTCAACAACAACGACCTCCTCATTTTTACCTGATTCAGTATGAAGCTCTTTCCCTGCCTCGCCCTTCCGCACACCGCGACAACCCCGAGGGGTCCTCGCAGTCGCCGCAGCGCGCTCACGGCTTCGGGATCCATTAGAAACACGCCTTGGTCATCCTTGTACACCAGACGAATCGCGCGTGACGTCAGCGGATCGGGGATCGACGCGGCGACCGGGGATCCGGCGTCTCGGGATTGAGGTAACGGGGAGAGAGTAGCAGGAGTGGGTTGCGTGGGTGTTGCCGATGGATTCGATTGTCTGGGTATTGACGGCATGGGTGATCTTAGCCCGGTTGTGGGGGATCGTGCGGCTGCAGCAGGAGATGCGACTGGCGACTGAGAGTTGCCGCCGCCGGTGCCTCGATTGAATATCCACGACATACTGCCTCGATGATGCTCTTTTTAAGACGCCTGATTAGCTGTGCATATACTCTAAGCTGGACTTGAAGTAGGGGTAATCGAGTTTTAGGCCATTCAAAATTACTTGAATATAGTTGGAGTCTAGAACGGCATAGGATACAACTAAATCGTAGTACGATCGAGGCAAAGAGTTCGAATTCTTGAACCTGATAAGATGATTCACGGCAAAGTGACCTGTCAGCGAGGTGCCGACACGGGGACCGAGACCTCCACCTGACAACCAAGCTATTCACAAGCCAAATTCTGAGTTGTAAGTTGCTCTTCTAGGAGGTGTGTCTCGTCTGAAGCAAGGTCAAGCCGACTTCGGGGGATCCCTGTGATGAGCAGGACGAAGACGGAAAGCCCATAGAGAATCGCGCGGGAATTTCGAAGCCCAGGGATTGTTGCAGGGACGGGCTGACACCGAGGTTCTGACAGTCGCGGTTTCACTTTAAATGATTTCAGTGTTCTGCAAGTGTTCCCGAAACACTGATCGCAAGTAGAAATTGTAAGAAATACTCATCTATGGCTTGGAAAACTGTAGTATTTGTTGCTATGGTAAAGGATAGATAAGGCACAGAGAGATTGAAGCAAGAAATTCCTGGGAAACTTATGCGTGCTGAAAGACACTGCAAGGTCTTGTTTGCAAAATGTCTTTGAGGTGAGCAGTAGGACGAACTGAGACAAAACTGCTAACATTAAGTGTCTCTGTTGGAATAACCGAAAGGTTATAAAGGCATTCCCGAAGTTGCTCCACTGTACTAGTACCGCATTAGCTCATATAGAGCACGCGGAATCTCGAGGGTCACCCGAAGGTCAACCGTCCAAGATAGTCAACGGTCGTGACCCTTGACGATCCAGTAACCGCGCGACAGTTAACAGACTGCAACACGGTAACTGTCGAGAATAGCAATAGTCGTGGTTACTGTAGCTATGTAATGCAGTTAATAAGGGAATGTACCCCTCAGAGTACATGACTAGATAGTTCACTATTTAATTTCTTGTACTCCTACTTTCTAATCATCTTGTTCTCTTTCAACCTTTTCTTAACAAGGTCACTACAAAGACTTCACTGTCTCCTCTCAGGCTTAACACGTTCTATCCTATCCACTGATCCTTTGGTTGTATCAGCATGGTATGAGAGCTAGAGTGGATTATAGGATCTGTCAAGCCCTCGTTCTTCCTAGAACAATCCTTTCATAAAATCAATTATCACATTTTAAGGTCTGCAACACTATGGCTCCTGAAGGGAAAGCTATTGCAGACTCACCGGGCCCACCACCAGCAACTACTAACGCGCCATCAGCGGTGACCTCCGTCAACGCCGCTGTCGTTGAGCAGCTAGTTGCACGCGTCAACGCTCTTGAAAGCCATCAGGCTATGAGCATTGATGGCTCAAGCTATGCACGTGGCGTTGCTGGGCTACCTCTCCCTGGAGAAGACCGCCGCGTCAACTCCGAGAGATCCTTCACCTTTGACAATCGTCAAGGGTCAGCTCCTGCACAAGACAACCCACAACGGTCGCAGTCAGACATCGCTTCAATGCAAACCAAATTTGTACTGACTTCAAAATTGAAGACCTCAATTCCCTTCGACGGGAAGGATTTTTACACGTGGAGCTTCGAATTCGAACTTCTTGCGACAACCGCTCAGATCTGGATGTACTACGACGGAAGTCTGCCTTTTCCCTCGGAAGGCACCATCCAGGAGAAGCATCAGTACTACCACGAATCACTTCTCGCGTACACCGCTCTCCTTCGCAATCTCTCACCTGAAGAGCAGCTCGGCATTCGTCCGTACAAGACGGAGTGGGCTCCCGCGCACGCATCCTGGGAACACCTGCGCAACTCATACATGGCAACAGATCCAGTCACTATGAGTCGCCTGCTCAGTCAACTAACTTCGGTTAAAATGAAGCAAGGGGAGAAAGCGGGACCGTATGTTAATCGGTGCCGCAATCTGCGCGATCAAGTTAAGAAGTGCGGTGGTTCTGTCCCTGACGACATGTTCATCTCAATGGTCATTTCAGGCCTTGGCCCCGACTGGCGTCAGTGCCAGTCACTCCTTCGCGCCCGAGCAACCATATCGGAGTCGGCTCTGTGCGCCACGCTTCTTTCAGAGCAGAAGGAGATCGACCTGTACAACGAGAAGAACGTCAAGCGGGAAAAATTAGCCTTCTACACAGGAGGATCCCAAGGGGAGCAACGCGGAAAGAAGGGAGCTTTCTGCAAATACTGCAAGAAGTCTGGCCACTCCATCGACCAGTGCTACAAGCGTCAGGCTGCTGATGAACGGCGCAACGCCTCCAATCAGCAACCCTCAGCTCAATCCAAGCTTGCCACCGCAACCTCCACTGTGTCGCCTCCCTCGGTCGCCAGCACTTCTCGGTCCTCTGCAGTCATCTCGGCAAAGGACAAAGGGAAAGGGACGGTCATAAGCTGCATGGCTCGCCGCAGCAGAGGGTTCCGCTACTGGGATCGGGATCGAATTTCATTCCCTTCCGACAACCCCACCCCCGTTGCGCCCAGCTCAGATAACGACCCAACGGTTTCTACCTGGTCGACTCGCCCTTCAGACATCCCTCCTGACTTCGAGCTTCCTCCTCCTACTCCGGAATCGCCGCCGAGCATTCCCGCAAGTAGATATTTCGCTCTCTCGCCGTACACCGGCGACTTCGATCGCATCATTACGCCCAAGATCGCCAACCTTGCCCGCCAGCGCCACGAGGATCTGGACACCTGGTACCTCGACAGTTGCTGCGGGCAACACATGGTGGGATCATCAAAGTTCATCAGCAACTCTCGGCGCATGCGACGACCCTGCGAAATCACCGCGGCCAACAACGGAAAAATGAAAGCACACGAGATTGGGGAGATCTACCTCGAGGCGAATGACACAAAATTTACCATTCACATCGGAGACGTCCTCGCTGCGCCAGACCTCCAATACAACCTTCTCTCGTCAGCTCAACTCATGCGATGCGGAATCGACATTCGCAGCAACCGCAACGAAAAGACCTTCGAGCTCTTTTATAATGACTCTTACATCGGAAAGGCGATCGACGACGACGGAGTCTTCGTGCTGCAGTTCTCGGCTCAGGGCACAACCGGCGATTCCCACCGCACGCTGCTCCTAAAGACAACTCCCACGGTGGCGACAACGTGGTCACATCCCGACGAGATGGACCTCGAGCGACCCGCCTCTGACGGCCTTCTGCGCTTGCGCACTGTCCCGACCGCCTCGACCTCGAATCCTGCTGAGACCTCGAATCCTGCCACGATGGAGGAAGACAGTGGCACGTCAGGCCCCACAACACAACCTGCCGAGGAAAACACGCCGGCGGAAACGCGCTGGACAGGCTGGGACACTTCCGAACCTGCACTTGGATCTTGGGGAGAAGTCCTAACTCCAGAGGAAGCGGCCACAAGCGGATGGGCTGCGACAGGCCGAGGAACTCCCCCTACCCCAGCCGTGGAAGGTGGCACTGGCTGGACTCCTCCTGCCCCATCTGGGGAAGTTGGCGCAGAAGTCAAAGACACAGAGGTCGGAGAAGCAAGGACTACCGGAGCCACGTGGGGCACCGGGGGAGGCTGGGGCACTTCGGGCGAGGCGGAACAAGGGCAAACTGTAGCAGCCGGCCTTCCTCCCGCGGAAGTAGCCATCATCGACCCGTACTGGGCAACTCGCGGCACCTGCTGGGGAGGTCCTCCCCTTCCGAATCAGTATGCTCCTGACACACCCGAACCAATGCCAGAAGAGTCAGAGGAAGAAGAGACCTACGAATTCATGGGGGGACCAGCGGAATTACCTGAACCTACCGAGGAGCCAGAGCCGCCGGTACAAGGACCCCAAGAAATTGAAGTCATTGGTGCTGAATACAGTTACTACAGGATCCCCATGTCGGGACTCCCCGCTCGGGACTGGCCCGATCGATGCATCCTTGTCACCGGAGACCAAGCCGATGCTGGCGACACCGACGACATCATCGGTATTCCCCGCGCGCTTCTGGAAAGAAACGCAATTCGCGCACTCGCCGCCGAAACGGACAACGCCGCTGACACAGGACCTGAAGGGGAGGCAAACGACGAGGCAGCACGGCAAAAATATTATCAGAAAACAGTCGGCTACCGTGCGGACCCAGCAACATGGCACCAACGGCTTGGACATCCCTCTCACGCCACGCTCAAAAACTCGCTCAAGGCCGGAGTTTTCGATGACGAAGCACTTCTCCTCCCCCGAGACGGTTCCCTCACCGCGGACTCTCCCAATCCACCATGCATGGTCTGCCCGACTGCATCCCTCAACCACCAACCATTCCCAGACTTACCACCAGGGTACGCGTGCTACAAACCGCTGGATAAGGTCTACAGCGACTTCATGGTACTCAGCCAAGAAGGGCTCGAAGGGGAGCAGTACACGCTAACCTTCATTGACGCCTCTACGCGTTACGTCTGGGCCATCAACACCGACTCTAGGTCACTGGCCTTCGAGTGCTTCATTGCGTGGATGAAGAGGGCCGAGCGACAATCTGGACTAAAGCTAAAGGCCTGGCAGACAGACGGAGCCCTGGAGTTCTTCTCGGACGAGTTCAAAGAGCTCTTCAAGCAGAAGGGGATCGAGCACCTGGTGTCTCTGCCCTACGCCCACCAGCAGCAAGGCGTGGCAGAACGGACAAACAGGAGCCTCGCCACGCGGATGAGGGCTCTGATGAAGCAGTCGGCCATCCCAACCAAATATTGGCCGTTTGCGATGAATCACGCTGTTCGGCTGCACAACTTGCTGTCTTCGCGAAGCCTCAAGGACAACAACTCTCCCTACCGGGCCTGGACGGGCAGAAAAGCAGATACACGCCTACTTCGGGTGTTCGGGTGCATGGTACAGTACAGACCCCATACTGCGCGGACGGGAAAATTTGCAGACCGGGCACGATGGGGCATCCATCTCGGAATCGAAAAAGAATTCAAGGCGTGGATCGTACTGGA